AGCAGGGAGGGAAAAGCCAGCTTTGTGCTATCCCCCAGGGCTGTAGCAGTCTTCAAGCACCCTGCTGAGGCATGTGTGGGAAGGGATTACAGCAGGTGGCTGTGGCTGGAGGGGAGGGTTCAAAAAAACACCATCATCTTCCTTTACTCCAGAGTGGAGTAGGATGGGGATTTCAGATCCACACTTCAATGGAATATTCTGTTGTCCCCCTGCCCTTGCTAGTGTTGACCAAGCTCTGGATTATCCCTGGAAACTGGAGTCTGGTGGTAATAAAAGTGTCTGATTTATTGTTTGGCAGGTGCAGACAGATCAGTACATCCCTGAGGAAAACATCTATGGGGAGATGGATGCCATTGAGCATCAGCTGGATGAGCTGGAGCACCGTGGGGTGGCCTTGGAGGAAAAACTGCGCAGTGCTGAGAATGGTGTGTGGGTTGGGCTGTCTGTGGGTGTGGGGCAGGACAGACCCTAGGGCTGCCCTCTCTCCAGCCAAGGAAATAGCAACAGTGACTTCTTCCCTGCTGATGCTGGGGTTGGAAGAGCACAAGAGGCTGTGCTGGGCTCCAAGATTGGAAACAACCTTATCCTGAACATGGAGATGTCCCTAGAATGGAAACAGGTGGGAGAAGAGATGGGGTCTCTCTGGGCCTCAGAAAGAGGCTGAGGTTGGGTTGGCTCTAGCGCAGTGCCTCTCCCCTGGCTAGGCAAAGCCCAGCCTGTTGCAGGGTGATGGGATCCACTAGGGCTGGGAATGGCTCTGAACTGTCCCTTTGCTTGGCAGACAACCCTGAGGACAGCCTGCTTGTGGACTGGTTCAAGCTCATCCATGAGAAGCACATGCTGGTGCGCCACGAGTCGGAGCTCATCTACATGTAAGTGTGTGCAGGTGTGTGGAGAGGCACTGACACTCTCCTGGGGAATCTTTCTCAGCTCTCCTGAAATGGTGCTTCCAGGGGAGATCCAGACAGGGCCTCCTTACCTAAAAAGGCAGGGAGTAAGGGCAAGCAAATCTGTCCAGATGTGCTGAGAACTGACCCACAGTGTATCACCAGAGCCTCTGCAGCATCTACTCCAGGAAGGCCTGAGCAGTCAGGGCTGGTCCTTACTGGTCCTTGGCTCCCTGGCTATACAGGACAAGATCAGCATCTTGAGGGTTCTTTCCAAGCTCACCCTGTACTTTGGGATGATGTTCTACCTTTCTGGTGCCTTGCAGTGCTTCCCAACATTTTCCCCTCCCTTTGCAGCTTCAAGCAGCAGAACCTGGAGCAGCGGCAGTCGGATGTGGAGTATGAACTGCGGTGCCTCCTCAACAAGCCAGGTAAAGCACCACTCTGGGTGTGCTTACCCCTTTTTTCATAGAATCATAGAATATATTGAGTTGGAAGGGACCCACAGGGATCATTTTTCCCCTGGGCATCATCTCCCCTCTCTCTAGGTGGATCTCAGGTGAAGAGAGGCAGATCTATAGGGATGCCATTGCAATCAGCTCGCTCTAGAGGCTCTATCCCATCTCAGTGTATGTCCCAGTCTTGTGCAAGGATGTGCTCCTTTTGTCCCCAGGGAATGCCTCATGCAGGGCTCTGTCCCCATAGCACTGCTAGCCCAACTGGCCCTGTAGCATAGCAGGGTAGAGGGGATTGTGCTGGAGATCTCTGCCCTGAAGCCCAGAATGTCAGTGCTCCTTCAGCCATGTAATTGCCTGTCCTTCCCTGGGGTTTGGCTGGGTAGAGAAGGACTGGACCGATGAGGATCGAGGGAGGGAGAAGGTGCTGATGCAGGAGCTGGTGACCATCATTGAGCAGAGGAACGCCATTGTGAACTGCCTGGACGAGGACCGGCAGAGGTGAGTGAGGAATGGGGTGAGCTGGGGGAGAAGGGAAAAGCACAGCCTGTCTGACTCAGTGCCACATGGTGCTTTGTGGGGGTGTCCCAAGATGTCCATGTTGCTGATGTCTTTCTCGGGCTTCCCAATCCTTGTCTCTTGGAATGCTTTGTGTGAAAGACAGGACAGCACATGCAGCCTGTGGGATTTATCCTGCTGGTCGCAAATGCTCACAAGACAGAGATGGATCTGCCCCTCTATGGCTTCTAAGTAGGAGGCTTTCTAGTCTTAAACAATACAGCAGCTGTTTTCGGGGCTGAATTCCTGACCTCTTTCCCATTCTTTCTTTCAGAGAAGAGGAGGAGGATAAAATGTTGGAAGCCATGATTAAAAGGAAAGGTAAGAAACAAATGGGAAGCTTTTTGGAGTGATGTTTTCACTGCTGACCCCAGTAAGGGGCAGCACGAGCCATTTGTGAAATTGTGTGCAGGAGAGATTGAATCTGTTCTGTGTAGACTAGACTTTCCTGTAGGGCCAATAAAAGTAAAGGCACAGTTGTGCTGCACACCCCTATTATCAGAGAAAGTGTTCATGCAGTGGAGGGCTTTGATTCGTGGCTGTCACCCTTGCCCACTGTCTTGAGTATGTCTGTACAACTACTGACATCCCACAGTAACAACCTCCCTTTGCAACCCCAGAATTTCACAAGGAAACGGAGACAGAGAGCAAGAAGAAAGGCAAATTCAAGCCCATGAAGGTGCTTAAGCTTCTGGGCAACAAGCACGACTCCAAGAGCAAGTCACCCAAGGAGAAAAGCTAGAGCAGGGGACACCAGCAGTGAGAGGGAACCCCAGCTCGCCTCTCCCTGGCCCTGGCTCGCCTCTCCCCCTGCTCCCTCCCGGCATCCGAGCTGCCACCCCAGGGAGATGCCAGCCCTCAGCCCAGAGCGGGTGAGAATGACCAAAGCCCTCCCATTCCTGAGGCTGTGGGGGAGCGTGACCATACCCTCCGTGAAGCCTTGTTAACAAAGTGAGGAGAAGACGGATTTGCTTTTCAGATGCGTTATCCAATTGTGTGCTCTTATTAACTGAGAACAACAAAGGAGTTTTGTGTTTGTGGAAAACTTGCACTAACTGCACCCTGTCCCTTCTCCCACCCTAACTGTGACAGTTCCATGTGCCTCTGACTTCTGCCAGGAGGAGATTGGGCCTCCCTGTCCCTCCTTGCCTGCCCACTCTTGTCCCTTTTCTGTCCCATTTTTAACTTCAGGAGAAAACTGACATTAGAATCAGGATCCTTTGGGTTTTACTGGCCTAAACTAAAAGGTTAAGAAAATACTCCTGCATCACAAGGCTCTAGAGCCATAGCCAAAAAAACAACTGGTGCCCTATTTATTTTGAGCCATTCCCTCCCTCGAGCACCAGGGGTGGGTGGGCTCTGTCCCAAGGCTGAGAGGACCCAAGGGGACAGCATACAGCTGCTAGGATGTAGCTCACGTGCCCTACTCAGGAACCCCACTGCTGCTAAACACTGCTGACACTGCTGCCTTCCTGGGGAGGGAGGATCTGTTCCTTTTCCAGGCAAGGGCAGAAAAGCTCAAGATTGAGTGACTGCTGGTGAGGGGCACTAAGTTGTGTCCCTGCTCACTGGTGCCACCCTTGAGCTGCAGGGGAGAGAGGCACGGTCACAACTGACTTTTACCCAGCTTCATCTGTGTATACTTTAAAAGTGTGCAGATGTGGCTGATTGTTTTTTACACCTCCTTTACTAGATGAATTCAAACCTATCCTAAAACTTTAAACCCCTTATTTTATTTGTCATGTGTGTGCGTGTGTGTACATCAGAGGAGGGAATGTGTTCTTCCAACCATCCCTTCTTCCTTCCATTTTTGTCTCCTGCCTTCCCTTCCAAGATGATGAGTTATTTATTGAGTCATTGTATCAGTCTGAATTAGAGTTTCGTGGGTGTTTGGTTGGTCAGTTGTTCATCATGCCTTCTCATTAGCAAATTAGACATAACCAGCCCTGAGCCATCTGCTGCAGTCTCTTCTAAAAACCCAACTGGCTTTAGCCAAAATACTCTCAGAGCAGTGCCTTGCAAGGTGGCTGGTGTAGCATTCTGGAGAGGGATCCTCATTTCCCAAAACCAGAGGGACCTGAGCCCCTCCTCAATCCCAGCATGGCCCCCATGGCTGGGAGCTGGCCAGCTCAGCCCTGTGCTGGTAATGCCATCTCACCCTTGCTATACCCAGCAGGCTGATGAGGAACAGTGGTAGGGGAGGGGAGATCCCAAAGCACAACTCTTCTCCAAGGAGAAACAAATCTGCTTTAGAGCCTACTGTCACATCACTGTTGCCAAAGGCCATTGGGATTACTGTAGCCTGACACCCCTTGGCCCTGTGCCCGGTCAGAAATTTGGTTTGTAAATTATACTGTACTAACCCCATGACTTCCATTCACCTGAACAGAAATAAAAGAAACATTGGATTTAAAAAATGATTGTGGATTAGGTTTCTGATTCTTTTGTGCACTCGCGCTGTCCCAGGGCCAGGGCATGCTGCCTGGCTTTGGAAAGTGGCTGAGTATTGCTAACAAGCAGAGGATGAGATCTTAAGGAAATTGGAAACTGGACATTATGCTGGGATTTCCACAGGCAAAGTGGGACATAATGCTTCAGCCTGCTGGAGGACAGAAGTACAAGTATTTATGGGTGAGCAAAGAACCATTTCCAGTTTCTATGGGAATAGAGTGGCTATTCTGCATACCATGCTTTCATTAACCAAAAAATCACAGCAAGCCACAGCAAAGAGCAGCAGCCACTGGGGTGAAATTCCCTGTCCCTGCTTGGCACAGCTGTGTTCCTGAGTTCCTGCCCAGTGGGCTGCCACCAGAGGTTTGCTGATGCCGCAGGTCACAGTCACAGTGACCTGCAGCAATGCCAAGGGCTGTGATTACACAAGGCTGTACAGCTGCACTCCCTCCAGAGACATTCCTGGCATCACAGGGCCAGGAGCAAGCAAGTTACAGGTATGGTGTCAGCGTGTGTTACCATCACGCTGTCACAAGAAACCTCCACCTCTGGGTAGATGGGAAGGAATGACATTTCTATGGATGGATTGCTGAGGCACTGCAGAGGAAAAAGAAGGCTCTGCTTTGTCATGTTTTGGGAGCTGTTGCTATGTGTTTTCATGTCTTTAATATTATTGAGCAAGAAGGGATCCAGTGTGTGGGAAGGATTTTACAACTTCTGTCACCGTGTATGTACAAATTGGTCCTGCCTTCTAGTTTCTGGCAACAGATCGTGCTGCCCCCTCTTTGGAAACAGACACAGACTAGCCTCTGATGCCCAGAGTCTGGGAAGAATAGGTGGGAACAAATTGCACCTGTGTTTTGCCCTTGGCCTAGTCTTGGAGATTGGATTTGTTCCCAACAGGGAAGGCTTTTGTCATGATATTTCTCATTTCCTCACTTCTCTTCTTGTCAATGCTCTCCATCTCATTCAATTTCTGCAAAGTAGAAAGGGGGAGAGCTGAGTAGGGAGAAAGCCAGCAGCTTTTTTTTATTTCTCTTGCCAATCTCAAGAATAAAAACTCTGTTTCCCTGATAAAGTTACATGCAGAGATGGAAAGAAATCTGGAAAACTGCTATCCACCATTCCCCACATTCATGCCTGAGCTGTGCCATGAAGGAAAGCAGCTCTTTGCCTCCTTCCCTGCTCAGATATCAGAGAAGACTCTGCTTTATGATCTCTGACATGTGGGATTCCCTTCATGCACTGTTCAGCCAAGGCCCTTGCATACCTGTGAGATTTCAGTGAGGATGACCCCTTGATACTTCTTGCCCTGTCCTAGAGCTTCCATTTCTTCCAGGAATTCCCTCCTCTCTTGAATTTCATTCATCACTGGTGGATAGGAGAAAGAACTGTGGAAACAGCATGCAGCCAAAAAGCAAGAAAACACGTTTCTGTCTAGATCTGAACCCCCAATTTCCTAAAGTTTTGCTTGAACAGCAGCCCCATCAAGGCAGGGTGATATCTGCTGTAACACTCACCTTGCCCAACATGTCATCACGATACCTCAGCAGTCCCTTACATAATGGATATGTTCCCTCTGCCCAACTTCTTACCACTCCCTGACTCCCAGGAACAGCAGTTTTCTAGTTTTCTTTATGTAGACAATTCTCTTTTGCTTGTGGGCAATTTAACCAATTGGTGGATGGAGACAGAACCTGCTGTTGAGGTTTATAAGTTGACATGTGTCACCCAGTAACTGCAACCATCCAAGACCAGGCTGCTGCTTTGCAGCACAAACAACATTCAGCTTGTGACAAGTGTTGGAGGCTACCAAGCATGTGTAAAATCAGCTGCACTAGCTCCCTGCAGTAGGGAGTATCCCTTTTGTACACACTATTCTAGCAATGCCCATCTTTGTGCTGCCCTGGCTGGCAAAAGGCTGCCAGGGCTGTACACACACACTGAAGATTCAAGCACAGAAAGGTATAAGGCAGTGTTTTGCTATCCCAGTATACACTGCAGGCCAGAGTCTTTCACTGCCTCAAATTCTGCCTGATATTCAAGCTTTGCTAGTATAACTGCTGTGATCCTGGAGTGGAATGGCCCAAACTGGTCAGGCTATCAAGTGACATGGTCTATGTTGAGTCATACTTGCTGGGAAAAGGACCAACAGTACCTGAGCTTGTTTCCCATGTATCCCTGCACATCCCCAGGCTATCCCCTGCCAGCAGGGTGCATTTTGTGTGGGCAGCCCATCTGCCAGCAAACCTCGTCAGTATAAGCTCTGTGAGGATGGCTGGATCAGAGTGTCACAGCAGCGAGTCCTTTCTCTTGGGAACTGGCCTTTGTGGCTCCTCCTGTAATGTGCTTCAGGTTACTGTCAACACAGCTGCCAGCCCAGCCCTAGGAGGGAGCTGGCTTCCCAGGCTTCCTGCCTCCCTCCTGGGGACATGATGACGTACATTCTTCAAACCGGTCAGCCTCAGCTATCTCCTCTTCCTTTTTCTGAATGAACACCTGCTCCACCTTCTCCTCCACCTCATCCTTCCCTGATGCTAAAATGTTCTGAAGTCTTCTCTTCTCCTTTTCCAAATCTCCTAAGAATGACAAAGGAAAAAAGCATTATTATCAGCACGTCTCCTCATGGAAGAGCCTGACCACACTGCTTCCCTGCTAACTGTGCCAGAGGAAGTGTTTCATTAATGTCAGTCCATCCCTGGACTGTGTGCAAGCACCACATGGGTGTACAGAGCCCCCCAAACCAACATCAGAGGTGTGGTTCACATTTATGTGCTAAAAAATCATGTAGTGCCCCTTCCTTACTCAGGGACTGTGCAGGTCGCTATCACCTGTCACCCCTCAGCTGGCACGCAGAAGTCAGCGAGCACTTACAGGAGGTGTTCCCTCAGAGATCCATTTCTGAAGCATCTTTGCAGACTGAGAGCATGAGGACGTGATACAGCAATTCAGATACACTGCCACTGCTGAGATTGAGGCAGGGGACGGACAGAAGGAGAAGAGAGGCTCCAGGCATCACCATGTATTTATTATCAGTGTTCGCTGACTTACGTGTGGGCTGTGGCTTGAATTTCTCCCGGGTGTAGGCATCCCCTGCCTGGCAGACCCTGGCAGGTCGGAGAAGCGGTCTAGCTGGAAGCCTGTGTGGCTGACAGGCTGCTGGGGAGGAAACAGTTACTGGCTGTTTGCTGGATGGGGAGAATCTCTGAAGGGGCAGGGCGTCTCCGCCTGGGGGACGAACCAAAAATAACAGCAAATCAGACAGGAGGGACTGTGAATGTATGGCTCTGGGCCATTACCAGCAGATCTACCTGTTGATCTATAGCAGCATCACAAACGAAGACCCCAGTGCCCTAGATGTCTCACCCTGGTTACTGGGCACGACAGACTGCGGTTCAAGTCACACCGTTACGCCTTGTTTCCTGGGGACAGCTCTCCCGCTTGTCCCCATGTGTCAGCAGCCGCTGTGCTGCTGGTTTAAAGCACTCGCCCATCCGAGCAGGCTCTGGGTGAATGCCGAGATGCAAAAGCTCCACACCACAGCACAGCAATGGGCAGGAGAGCCAGGGGGCCTCACTCACGTTTCACATAGTCCATCAGGTATCGCTTCTGGGAATGCGTCATCTGCAACTCCTCCATCATCCCTGAAAAACACAACGCGTCGATGAAGAGGCAGCAGAGCCGGGCTGGAGAACCCGCCCTAGGGTCACCTCCTCTCACAACCCCAATCCGAAAGGGAAGATGCGGGTTTAGGAGACTCCAGCCGGGGCGACAACAACGGCGACGGGCCCGCCGGTTGCCGGACCGCGGTGGGACGCTCTGCTTAGGGGCGAGGCACGGTGGGCGGGACCCCGGCGCCCCAAGCAGCTGAGCGCGGCCTCGGCGCGCTCCGCCGTTACCTCTCACTAACTCCCGGGTGCCTGTGCTGTACCGGGCCGGCCTGCCCGCCGCCGAGAGCCTGCCGCGGCCCGGGGACCCTGCGGCCTCCATCGCCACGGGCGGGACGGGGCAGCGGCGGCGGTCGCCAGGGCAACAGCGCGGGATGACTTCCGGTAGCGTCACGGCAGCGGCCGGAAGTTGCTCCCGGAAGTGCCGGTCAGGAGCGCCCGGCGGGCAACATGTCTGACAACGAGGACAAGTGAGAGCGGGGCGGCGGGCGCAGGGAGGGAGCGGGGCGGCGGGCGCAGGGAGGGGAGGCATAGGCGGTGGCGCCAGCACGGGTGGGGGCGGCCCGGCCACAAGTGCGACGTGTGTGTCTCTCCCGCAGCTTTGACGGGGATGACTTCGATGATGTGGAGGAGGATGAGGGCCTGGAGGACCTGGAGAACGCGGAGGAGGTGGGTGCCGCTCGCAGGGCCGCGTGGCGGCCTGGCTGCGCGGCTGCTGTGGCTGGGGAGGCCTCAGCGGCTCCCCCCACACCTCAGGGCCTCCGTGGAGGGTGCGGCTGAGCAGCGGCGTGGTCTGTTTCCCCCAGGAGGGACAGGAGAACGTGGAGATTCTGCCCTCGGGAGAGCGGCAGCAGGCGAACCAGAAGCGGATCACGACCCCCTACATGACCAAGTACGAGCGAGCCAGAGTCCTGGGCACTCGTGCCCTGCAGATAGCGTGAGTATTGCCCACTGTGTCCCCAGCACTGCTGCAGCTGTGCCTCCTTTTACACTGATTAGCACTTTCCTCTTCCCTTAAAAATTCCCAGGTCTTCTGAATCCTTTGCATGACTGCTGAGCTTGCATGTCATCCTCTGGTAAACTGAAGCTAACTATTGCACCTGAAGTCTATGTGCCTCTCTTTGCCTGAAACTGTGCTACATGTGCATAAAGAGGGAGCATTTAGTAGCCACAGTGAGTTTTCCTAGATCACAGACAAAATTACTAGGGGATGGGACCAGACAGTTCTGGTTTCTGTCTTTCCTCAGAGAGTCAGCATGGACTTGAGAGTTCATAACTGGTTTGTGAAAGGTAATGTTTGAGATAGAGATGCTTCAAAACAACTTCAGTAGATACCTCAGGGCTGTAGGAATTGGGAGTGAAGAAACCAACCTGAAATTTGTTCCAAATGCGGTTGCATTGTGGGTAGCTGTAAGGTTTTTGAAGTATTTACAATAAAAAGGCCTTATTTATAATAGACAATAACATTTAAAATGTACTTTAAGTGCTGTCAAGGCTGGCTGCTCTTAATCCATTTGACTTTTTAGATTTGTTTTAATAATAAATATTAAAAATGGTGTGCTTTTTGAGAAACTACTTTCTGAGAAAGAATGTTAGACATTGGCAAGGGTTTGAGTTTCATCTTGTTTATGTCCACCTTCATAATGAGGCTTCTCTTGTGCATCATTTAGAAGCTCACAGGCAGGCAAGCTGTTCTTTGCACAGCCTGTGAAGCTGTTTTATGCATGTTCTTTCAGTTGGTGAGAGGCAAGAAGAATGGGGGGAGATAAAGGCCGTGCCAGGCCTTTAATCCAAAACACTCTGGCACCTGGTTCTGCTTCACCAGCAACTTCTACTTCCAGTGCTGAACCCAGACCAGCAGCAGCTCCCATGGCCTCACCCACACATAACGTGAGCTTTCTCTGCCACCACTGTCCAGGGCATGGGTGTAGTCACAATCCTTTGCAAAATGCTGAGTTTTTTCTTCCAAGAGGTAAAATGCCTTGTAAATCCAGCCCTTCTCTTCTCCTGATCAAAGCCTGGGAGCTGTGAGCAGGTCAGAATGTAAGCGATGTGTTGGAGCTGTAGAAGGTCTGCTCATTTTACAGCAATTGCAACCTTTTAATTGGATTAATTTTAGAAACATTCTTTTCTACATGTTTAAGTATACAGCAGAGGGCGACTAGGAGAGTGGATTTGACCAGTCCTTGAGCTTGAGCTGGTTGGCAGAGCCCTAGGGATGGGACAAGAAGAGCACTGAAGTAAAAGTTTGGTCTGTAACCATCTGGGGGAATTTTCTCCTTCAAGTGCACAGCAGAGCAAATCAGTTTTGCCAGGATGGTGTCCCACCCCCCTACTTCATTGGCTGTTGTAGAGGTGACACAGGTAAGCAGGTGTTTAGCTCTTCCCTCCCTGTGTTTTTACTCAAGTGGCTGTTGATGTTTTTCCTAGGATGTGTGCCCCTGTGATGGTGGAGCTGGAAGGAGAGACAGACCCCTTGCTCATTGCCATGAAAGAACTCAAGTAAGTCACAGATTTTGTACTGATTTCTGTAAAGCCAGCAGTCCTCTCCTCATCCCAACATGTAGCAGTTTGGTCCAAGACAGCCTTGTTTTCCATCAATATCAGTGAGCACTATAGCTGCCTTGTAGTTTCTCCACAGCTGCTCTCTCCCAGACTAGTTGCTCCTGCAAACTGATGATTATGAGTGCTCTGGATCTCTTCTACTTCACGTTCCCAGTATTCTTTATTTCTGTGATGGGATCCCAAGGTCCTCATCTTTTGGGAACTGATTTAATTTCCCAAATGGAATTGTTTTGAAGCAGCCAGCTTAACAGAACTGTGTTCAAATGAAGTGCTAGCAAAAATTAAAATAAGGGTCAGGCTGATGAGAATGTTTATTTCCTGCACCCTTCCATGCTTGGCTTCTTGTCCTTTCCCCCTGCTTACAGAAAGGTGAATAAGTCCTTTCTGACTGCAACAGAGGCACATTTGGATGACCACTTGCAGGCCCACTTTTCCACAGCAGAGCTCCCTGCTGTCCCACAGTTTTCCTGCGCAGTCCAGGTCACATGCAAACAGCTGGACTCTGTTACTGATTAGGTCACTGTCCTTGAACAAAATTGTCCCCCTGCTTCCCCAGTTTCTCAGTGCACAGAAACTGCTCTTGCAGATTTTTTATCTATGGCAACTCCCTCTGCCATTGCTGAAAGCACTTTAGGTGATATTCCTGTCAGATCTCCAGGCTCAGACTGAGTTGCTTCTGGTCACTGCCTGTGTGTGAGTTCTGAAAAGTAAGTCGGGGTGGTGTGTCCTGTTCTGTGCCAAAATTCAGTTGTAATTCTTGGCATTGGGGAGTTACTTTACTACTGGAAAAACAACCTCCCTGAATGTAAAGAAGTTGTGTTACTTTTCAAGTCTGATACACTTAAAACCTGATGCCCTGGCTGGATTCCAGACTGGCTGATGATGCTTTGCTGACTTAAACCTGCTTTCATGAAGTTAAATTGTATTCAGAATTTTCTTGCTCTCTAATCTGAAGCACTGTGAGCAGGTGCTGTGCTCCACCCCAGCTGTAATAGGTTTTGGTACCTGAATAGTCACTATTTCATGTATCCTTCTTGAAATGTAGCTGATGCTCTCAGGATGCAAATTTCTCTGTAAATACCAGTTTGTCCTGGAAGTTCTCAGAATTCTGCCACTAAAAATAGTGTTGTGTGGGGAAAAACCTTCTGTCAAACAAAGAGTGGATTTGTTCTTCAAGTACCTGGATTTATATTTTCCCCCTATATCAAGGTTAGATGCTTATTGTTGTCTCTTAGTGGGTTCAGACCGCCAGGCTCAATTCCTGCAGGAGCATCAGAGGTCTGGGAGGTCTTGGGTGTTCATAGTCTGAGGGTGCTGAGTGCTTTGCATCTACAAATGACAGAATTTTGTTGGGACCTCGCTATATAGTATCAAACACTGGTGCTGCACAGCTCTCAGTTAAATCTGATGAGCTTATTGGAGCCACCAAGCACCTCACTTCCATCACCTGCTGAAGTGATACAGTGGAGATTCTGACATTTCTGTTCATCTCTCTCTTCCTTTCAGAGCACGCAAGATCCCCATAATCATCCGTCGTTACCTTCCAGATGGGAGCTATGAAGACTGGGGTGTGGATGAATTAATTATCACAGACTGATCAGATTCCAGCCATTGTTTTTGGTTTTGCATTTCCAGGGTTGTTAATAATTTTGGGTAGTGTTCGTGTAAATAAATTTTAGATCTCCCTATTTTAAATTAAATGTATTTGGGTTTTTTTGCCCTCTGATTTTCTCTTTCAATCCTATATGTCTGAGAGATGACTTTCTTAGCTGTCTCCATCAGTCTGGGGATTTTTTTTTCTGTGTGTCATGTACTGTATTAGTAAGATTAGGGAGCCGAGTGCAATGCTGTTTTTTCAGCTTTCTTACCGTTTTTTCAGCTTTTCTTACTGTTGAGGGCCTCATCTTTTAGTTAGACCAAAGTGTGCAGTAACTCCCTCCTCTAGAACTGCTCCTCCCTGGTTTCAGGACTAATGCCCAATTAAACTCCTGCTGTACAGAAGTGCTCTGGCAGGTACTTTGGCTTCAGAAAGACTCCAGCCTTCAGCCACTGTCCCTTCTTAAAATAGGAGTGCTGAGACACCTCCATTGCTTCCCCCTAGACAGTTGGCCCTTTGTGCCCTGAACAGGTTGCTGTGGAAACCCCCAATTTCCTCTTTGGCCAGTGCTGACTGTGGGGCTTCTCAGGAGTATCGTAGAGCAGCTCTCATCAAGCCACCTATTGTTTCCCTGCTCCCTTGCTGCTTATCAGAAGTGGGGATCCCCTTTCAGTGGCACTGCCCCAGCCGGAAGCGCGGCCGCCCCTCGCTGTCCCACCAGCTCGGCAGGTGTGGGTTGTTGTTGCACTTGCTCCTGGTGCAGCTGTTCTCTGACACGCAGTGGAACTGAGGTCCTGGGGATGGACAGGCCATCTCAGTTTAACATACCCTGATGATTCTTACGGTGCCACAACTGCAGCTAAATCCTAGACTTCCTTTGATCTGTATTGTGGTGAAAGATCAGTCATCTGTCCCCTTCAAGTACCTGCACTCTCACCTCTGATGTGCTGGGAGGTAATGTGCTTGAGTCAAGAGTTGCATGGATGCCTTGCAGTCTGCAAAGGCTTCCAGCCAGCTACAGATTTTCATCACTTCACCTAGTTTTCGTTTCTTGATCTGTGTACTTAAAGGTTCTTTCTCTGGAAGATCTGAGCTTGAGCAGAACACACCAAATTTTCTCAATTATCTTACTAATAAGATCTCTCAGAGATTTTGTTTTCTATTTTTAAAGAGAAGGAGGAAGGTGCACCTCACCTATGGTTCCTGCCTTATATTTTTTTGTGCTCTGGTCCAGAAATAATATTTCTGACTAGTTTGTGTTAAAGCTTGTACTTATATATAAAGTGATCATGCTCCATGTGTGGCTGGTGCCTGCGCATGAGCATCCATGTCCCAAAGGGAATTTATACCCACCTGCCTGGGAACTTGGCTCATGTAACAGCCAT